TATTGCCCGCTCAGGCGCTCACTATTGCTTCATAGTGCCTGCTGCGTTATCCAATGGAATTTCAACGATTTATCACGTGATGCACTAATAGTGGTTATTGGTGGAAGGCGCGACTATAACACACTGCAGCCGTATTATCTGGATTGTGGCTGGACTCGCAACAACCATCCCGAGCAGTGTGCAAATGAAGATTGATTTTAATTAAATCTCAAGTTCTCGAAGTCTCTGCATTTTGGTCCTAGATGTGTTTTAAAATGATTGCGAAAACTAGATTCTCACTTGCGTACGACACAATGCACGCGCGCACGCATTGATAGACACCCGTATTCACTCACGCGCGTCCATTACTCGGGCGTTATACTACCCCTTATTCAAATAAAGCCGAATTGTCGGGACGCCTACTATATGTACGCGTTACCCTTCTACTGATTCACTATTTTCAGTTCATTTCAAACGCGGCGGCAATCTTTTTTCGCGGTTGCTTGGTGTTTGCGTTTGCATATAACGAGGATTTGATCCGGTTTAAAAAATAAAGTTACGGCGCCGTGGTTTTTTCGTCGAGCATTCGATTCATCGGTTCGCGTGTCTGTCCTGCGTGTAGTGCGGTCACGGTCGATTACTGCTGTGACATGATGAAGAGAGCGAGACAGAGGCGGAGCGAGTGAGGGATGGTGGGAGAGAAGGGAAGCAGAAGGAGAGGGGGAAAGCGAGAAAGAGAGCGAGAGAGCAATAGAGAGAGAGGGTGGAAGGGACGGAGGGATGGACGGAGAGATGGGTAGTAGAGAAAGCGAGAAAGAGAAAGAGCGACACAGAGCGAACCATAGTGCGAAAGAGAGCACACAAGGGAGAGAAAGAGAAAGAGAGAGAGAGAGAGAGAGAGAGAGAGAGAGAAGAAGGCAGAAGAAAAGAGAGAAGGGTGGTGTGAGAGACCGACAGACATGCGATGATGGCCAGGGCAGATAGTCAGCTGCTGCTTATACACCAGCGTGCTGTGCTGCTCGCTACATCGAGTGCTGCATTGGAAACAAAGCTCGCCATTCACGCGTGGCTGATGCGGAAACGATCAGCGAAACTGGGCCTCTCTCTCTCTCTCTCTCTCTCTCTCTCTCTCTCTCTC